ATTGAAGAATGAAAGCCAATATGGAAACAAATACTAATTGAATGGGATACCTGCAACAGTGAAGACACAGTAGCCGAACAAATGGTTTCACATATTGAGTATTCCATAAAAAACAATACTAGCAAGAAGTATCAAGCTGTGAAGGATCACCAAGGGATAAGCAAAGGCAAGTCCCTGGTAAAATCCTGTTCTGTTTGAGGGTAGAAGTTTCCCAGAAGGCAAAACCTCAAACCAGTATTCAGGATGGATAAGCAATCTAGCAGTGAGAAATTGCAAACAAAAACTGTATAGGAATTGGCAAACTGCTATCAGAAGCAAAGAAATAAGCTAGGTTTAATTTCTTCCAACACACAAAATAAGTGGAAATGTGGTGTTTTCAATGCTAAACAAAGTGGAAAAGATTGCATGTCCACTCTAACAAGAATTTGAATTATTATGCAGGGTAAGCATAGTAGTACACCAGGCAATAAATTCCATCTCTGTCTATACAAAGACAGCTATGTGACAATATGGTATTTAAAAGCAGTACATCTGAATGTGAGAATGAATCTTCCTTCTCTTTTCTCCTCCTATATTCTTTATTTACTTATTTTATACTGTTAATTTTAATTTTATATTATTGTATCTCAGTGCATTTTTTGTATTTTTGTATTTAGTGGTAATTTATTATGTTCTATTGTATTTCAATGTATCTTATTGTGTTGTAAGCCGCCCCGAGGCTTCGGCAAGGGGCGGCATAGAAATATAATAATAATAATCATCATCATCATCATCCTTATATCTAAATACTCTTATTAGTAACTGGTCCTACTTATAGTTGGGAGACTATCTAAGTAACCTCTAATGAAAACTGGCTCAAAAGTTTCAAAACAGCCAAGTCCTTCAGCTAGGAATCTGTTGGATTCCATCCCCAATACTGATTCCTCCAGTGTAGGAAGTCCTATCCATCAGTTTTGAAGCTTCTGCTTGAGAAATAATCATTAGCCTACTGTTCAATGTTAAATAACTGCTTGATGAAGCAGTTGATGAAAGCTGCACTTTTCATTTACTCACAGATAAACTGCTTCACAGAGATATTTAAAGACAGAAAGATATGCATGTTTTATGCACAGTACTCTCAACTTTATTTTTAAAACCTGAGTTCAGGTTTGAATTCCTATACATATATACAGCCTCAAACATCAGTGTTACAAGACAGACACAAGAAAAGACATTTGCCTTGAAATGTAAACCAGTTTAAGGATAGAACAACACATATTTGAAGCTGTTGTCTTAAAATCTATTATTAACACCTCCACAGTATCTGTATACATGTATTTGCTTAATTGCCAGAATATACATATTCTAATGAGTATATCCTAAGAGCATGTGCCATAATAATAAAGATAAGGAATTTGGGATTGATCAATCCTACTGACTTCCAGTCAAAAGAAACACAGGAGAACTATACAAGAAAGAGCTTAACGTCCCTTATAATGACGATGGGGTGGTCACTGACCTTGAGCCAGACATCCTGGAATATGAAGTCAAATGGGCCTTAAGAAGTCTGAGAAACAACAAAGCTAGTGGAGGTGATGGTATTCCAGTTGAGCTATTCAAAATCCTAAAAGACGATGCAGTAAAAGTGCTACATTCAATATGCCAGCAAACTTAGAAAACTCAACAGTGGCCACAGGATTGGAAAAGGTCAGTTTACATTCCTATCCCAAAAAAGGGCAATGCCAAAGAATGCTCAAACTACCACACCATTGCACTCATTTCACATGCTAGCAAAGTTATGCTCAAAATCCTACAAGCTAGGCTCCAGCAGTATGTGGACCGAGAACTCCCAGAAGTACAGGCAGGATTTCAAAGAGGGAGAGGAACTAGAGATCAAATTGCCAACATACGCTAGATCATGGAGAAAGCTAGGGAGCTCAAGAAAAACATCTACTTCTGCCTCATTGACTATTCTAAAGCCTTTGATTGTGTGGATCACAACAAATTGTGGCAAGTTCTTAAAGAGATGGGAGTCCCAGACCATCTTATTTGTCTCTTGAGAAACCGGTATGCAGGTCAAGAAGCAACAGTGAGAACTGGACACAGAACCACTGATTGGTTCAAAATTGAGAAAGGAGTTTGGCAAGACTGTATACTGTTACCCTGCCTATTTAACTTATATGCAGAGCACATCATGAGAAAGGCGGGGCTAGATGAATAACCAGTTGGAATTAAGATTGCTGGGAGAAATATCAACAACCTCAGATATGCAGATGATACCACTCTAACGGCAGAGAGTGAAAAGGAACTAAAGAGTCTCTTGATCCAGGTGAAGGAGGAGAGCACAAAAGTTGGCTTGAAACTCAACATTAAGAAAACTAAGATCATGGCATCCGGGCCTTTCACTTCCTGGCAAATAGATGGGGAAGAAATGGAGGTAGTGACAGATTTTATTTTCCTGGACTCCAAGATCACTGCAGACAGGGACTGCAGCCAAGAAATTAAAAGACGCTTGCTCCTGGGCAGGAAAGCTATGGCAAATCTAGACAGCATACTAAAAAGCAGACATCACCCTGCTGACAAGTGCGTATACTCAAGGCTATGGTTTTCCCAGTTGTAATGTATGGCTGGGAAAGTTGGACCATAAGGAAGGCTGAGCGCCAAAGAATTGAGTCCTTTGAATTGTGGTGCTGGGGAAGACTCCTGCGAGTCCCTTGGACTGCAAGGCGATCCAACCGGTCAGTCCTAGAGGAGATCAACCCTGACTGCTCTTTAGAAGGCCAGATACTGAAGATGAAACTCAATACTCTGGCCACCTAATGAGAAGGAAGGACTTCCTGGAGAAGACCCTGATGCTGGGAACAATAGATGGAAAAAGAAGAAGGGGACGGCAGAGAATGAGGTGGCGGGATGGAGTCACTGAAGCAGTCTGCATGAGCTTAAGTGGACTCCGAGGGATGGTGGAGGACAGGAAGGCCTGGAGGAATGTTGTCGGACACCACGACTAACAACAACAACAACCCTCAAACAGTTCCCACCATCAGCATATGTATGATGCAAAAAACCAGGTACCTGTAGGGGAAATTTCCCTTTCTCACAGGGAAATTAAGCCATGGAGGGCTGTTAGGTCATGTGAGTCAAGTCACTGTCTTTAAAATTTCCTTGTTAAAATGTAGTGATGGAAATAGTCTCAAGTTGTACTTAAACCTAGAGCTTGGTTCATTATAGTTGCCTTTTTATGTCAGGAAGCAAGTATCTCTTTCTCTCCTTACACAGGAGACAATGTAGGCTCATGCAAGGGATTACCTTATTAACATACATATTCTTCCTAAAGTGCCTTCTACAAAATATGGACATCCTTGGAAATAATTTCCAATTCTACTTTTTAATGATGTACTTCTTATAATTCATACTTTAGAAGCTCTTAAGTGTCATTTAGAATCTGCCAGTCTGTTTAGAATCACTCTCATCAGGAAGGACATAACAAGGAAGATAAAGGAAGAAAGAAGAATTATGAAGCTGAATTTCAGAATATTGGAGGAACAAGTGTAGCAGATGGAGACAAGGAGGAGCTTCTCATCAAATTACAAGATGGGAAGAATGTACAGAAATGTAAATAAAGGGAAGCATAAATACCCAATCTTTATGAGGATTTTTTGGTACAATCATACTTATATGGCAAGTAAGCTGCAAGGATGTTATTTCATTACAAACTCAACATGTGCAGATATTAGTGTTGAAATGAGGTTATTTTTACAATATGAAGTTGCAGAGCAACAAAATATTTACAAAGGACTTTAGCGTTAAAACAATATTTGGTTCTTCAAAGGTCAATTCAGCAGATATTAAGATATTAAATTATATTCTAGTCCAACTACATGCATTTTCTAAGAAGAAACTGCAATCTTTTGTCTATAGGGAAAAAAGTTGGGCATTTTTCTCTAGAGAACAGATATGACTTTTTCAATTACAGCTTTTATACCATTTCCTTTATAGACAAACAGGCACATGTACACACATATGCACACAAAACTCCCTGACAATTATGCCATTTCATTGCAAGATTCTGGCACATGCCCTTAGGGTAAACACATGTTCAGTATTGCTTATGTCTAGCTGGTGAAATGTGATAAGATCCCTTTCCTGCTGGCTTCTTACCCAATCTGAAATTAAAGCACTGCTTTGCTTGGATTTAAAAAAACAAAATCTTTTATGGTCTTTTGCTCCAGAGTATTTCAGACCTGAATGGAAACATACCTGGCTAAGCAGAACACTGGGATTTGCCAGCCCTGTCTTCCATTTTTCACCATCTTACCCCATATGGCATTAATAAAGCCACATGCTGAATTTTCTGGGGCTCTATGGCACACACAGGATATGAATTACAGTAACAATGTGTTTTTAATTTTTCACCCACTACAGGCGATGAAATCAGGTAGTGTTACTGTTATTTTTGCTTCCCAAGTTTATCTTCCTCTGTATATGGGTAAGTGGAGTTATTTCCAGTGGGAATGCTGATCAATAGCTCAACACAGGCTTTTGTTGTAAGTTTGCTTATACAAATATTTTTGGATCTTTAATAACTTCCTTTCGATTATTCTTGCAAGTTACAAAAAAGAAACATATGGAAAATTTGGCGTAACATTCAGAACAGTCTATATTCCAAATATTCAAAATTCTGCAAACATTCACTGTGACATTAATGAGCATTTTTGCAAAGACTGCCCAATTCTTTCAATTTTACAACAAATGGCAAATGTTTTATTGGCCTTTCCCTCATCACCAGGCAGAAGGTGGAAAAACAGCTTGGATGAGATTATGTGCAGAGTATAATGAATAGACTGTACAAGACTATGGATGGGCTGCAGGCGAAGGCTAGTAAATATGTTGCCTGTTGTAGCTCTATAACAGTGATCAAGATTTCTTGTCCTCTTGGCTACAAGAAAATATGGGTTGCAATGTTACAACACCTCAGTTTTAAATGTACCAGTTTAATAAATTCCTTAATTTAACATACTGACCTTGAAGTGAGGCTGGAGCAAGCAGCAAATCCAGGGTAAGAAATGTGAAAGAGAAAGTTAGAGAAAAGGTTAATGAGAAAACACTTAAAGGATAATACATTGAGAAAAGTGAAAGTCGAATAGCATGGCATCAGAAAGCAAGACAGGAAAGGAAGGTACAGGACTTTCAATCAAAACACAGTATTTTGGTAAGCTTCCTATTGACAAAAAGAGTTAGCTAATTAGATTAAATCATTCTACATATAAGGAGTGATCTGGAAAGTCTTCTTTTGATAGTAAATTGTTTCGTGAAGCAAGTAGTGCTTGTGGAAATATTTTATGAAACAGATATTAGCAAGCTGGCCATTCTGAGAATACTAAGTACCTTCTTTAGGCTGCCCCCATTTCAAGTTTAAAATTTATTGCAAAATGTATTTACAAACTTTGTTAATGTGACCAGAATTAAGTAATTAATACTGCAAGCCTTCTGATGTTGTTCATAAAACCTCAAGAAAATCTAAAAGTCTTGTAATTGTGAACTAACCATTCATACACATTTAAAAAGGTTTTCAGAAGCTTTTTTCCTTGTCAGTTATACTTCAAGCCTATGGTACAGTCTAAACTTGAGGTGCAGTCTAAAAAACAATATTGAACACACTGCTTCTAGAGAGTTCCCTCCAATACTACTGAGCAGTAACAGGCTAAAGACTACCCACTGGCAATTATGGCACTGCCATAGGTCTCTTATTGATCTTTTGCTGTTAATTCTAATACCCTGTTATCAGATGCTTTCATGGCCAAATATGTTGAGAAATATGCAATCTACAGGGAAGAACAGCAAATGTAGCACCAAAGTGCAATTTTTTTTATCAGTTTGTTTTACAAAGTTGTAAAAATGTTTTACAAGGCACAGTTGGCTCTTAAATAGGCACTGACATAATTCTAACCCAGACCCTGTTCTTCCTCCTCACAGAACTCTCTCCCACATCACAATGCTTGTTGCAAAGAGATTTCTCAGTGAAATTTAAATGCTCAACAGACTAGCCTAAAGCCCAAAATGGTTTGGGTCCTGGATACCTGAAGGAGCACCTTCCTATGTGCCTTCCTACCCCTTGGGATCTGAAAGAGATTAGAAGGAGTGGCTACCCGGAGGAAGGCCTTCTTCTCTGCGGGGGCGTCCCAACTGTGGAATACGCTCCCCAGAGATGTTCATCTGGGTTCAACATTTCTTTCTTTTTGGCACCAGGTGAAAACCTTTTATTCTTCCACTATTTTGATTGTTAAATTGTTTTAATCTGTGGTTTTACACTTAATATTGGATGCTGTGCTATTCTTACTGTTATTTTTATTCTATTTTATTGTTGTCATTGTGAACCATCCCAAGACGTCTTTGATGGGACGGTATACAAAAGTTTCAAATAAATAAATAAAATAAAATTATGACAAATCCTTCATTTACATATTCTCTTACCCACTATTACTTGAATACTTCCTACCATATATAATTATCAGCCAGTTCAAGCTTATTTGAAGAGATTATATTCAAAATAATCTGTAGATTCGGGTTCAATTAAATGGCTGTATTCTAAATTGCTGAAAATGTACCTCATTTTCAAAGACACTAGATTACATAAACCAATAATATTCCTGAAAAGTGAAGCCTATTTCAAAGAAATGTTGTTAGAAGGAGGATAGATATGACTGATCAAATTATTGGCCAAATCAATTAAAGAAAATACTCCATTTAATCCATAATACTTGTCAGTAGTCCTTTTGTTGAGTTTAATTATTCTGGTTTAGTCAAAATAAATTTCAAAAGTCAACACTAGGGAAACTTTGTCCCAGTGATGTCTGTAGCAATCAATTGATAGAAATCAATTAGATTTTAATCACTCCAACAACTGCAGATCGTATTTACTGTCATTCTACATTTTAAGAAAAAAAATCTGTCACGCTGAATTCAAATATATCTGATATTCAGGAATAATTTTTGCTCTTACTAAAGCTAACTGAAAGTTATTCATATTTTCAAAGATACACACTTTTGGAGGATTGGAAGAGGGACTGCTCTAGATGTAGTAAGGAATATGGGCAGCATACATTTGTGAGGAAAGCACTGCTTGTAATAATGCTTGCATTATTTTGTAACACAAGAGGGTTCATTCTGATTCCACTTGCTTAGCCCTCCTTTGTTTGGGGAAATTGCTAGTTCCTTTGTATTTGAGCCAATTTCATTGCTACAGGTTGACAGAAAGTTGAATACTTACATGTTGTCACAGAATGGCTTCCTGCTGTTCTGTAACTCTAAGTATACTATACACATGAAGGAGTCCAGAGAATTTGGGGATAGTTTTAACTAAATTGGCAGGTCACAGGCTAAGTTTTTGTTATCGGCTACTAAGCTGGTATCAGTGCAAAGTCATGTAAAACTAAGGTAATAGTTTTTTTTTCTTTTCTTTTATCTGAAATTGTTGGCATTAGAATAAATCGCACATATTTTATTAGTCTTCCTTATACTGACAAATGAAAAAAATAGATTTCTACTGGCATTTAGGAGGAAATAAGTGTTTTCAGAAGCATTTATCATCAGAAGTGAGCAGCTTCATAATCTTTGGAAGCTGATGTCCAAAACATCGGGAGGTCACTGAAGGCAGAAAGAAGCTCTGTGACTTATCTATGCAATGTGTCTATGTTCTCTTTATGGTAGCACTACCCACCCTGATGTTCTCCAGATGTTTTGGACTTTAGCTTCTATCATCCCGAGTCAGCATGGTCAATGGTAAAGAAAGTTACTTAAATATTAAATATTTGTTCTGCTATGTAAACAAGAACAGCTGAAAGTCTAGAGATAAGAATTTTACTTTAGTTGTACACTGTAGCTGACTTGCCTAGAAGAAAGGCAATGAAAACACCAAAAAGGAATTGTTTGACTTTAAATTTTTAAAAATCACATATAATGTCATTAATACCTTCTAATTACACACACAGAGACAGATTCCAGTGATCCAAGGACTTCATCCTGCACTCCAAGGTTCATCCTTCCCTTTTTCTAACTATAACTTTACATACTACAGATATGACAGATATTGGGAACAGAGCTTTCTCAGTAATGGCACCAGTTTGGGAATCCTTACACAGACATTGGCTTCACTGGGATCCAAGGGAGCAGGAGTGAAAAATGGTGGAAGATACAACAATGATTTAAGATATGTAGATGATACCACATTACTGGCAAAAAGCAACAGCAAATTGAAACAACTCCTGATGAAAATGAAAAAAGAACATGCTAAAGCAGGACTGCAGCTGAACAGTAAGAAACCAAAAATCTTGACTACAGAAGAACTATATAACAATGAAGAAACTGAACACATGAAAATTGAAATGTTGATGATGAAGAAATTGAGAACATATATAACTCAGCTCAGTCATCAATTCAAAGGGAGAATACAGTGAAGAAATTAGAAGGAGATTGAGGCTTAGGTAGGCAGAAATGAAGGAACTAGATAATCAAATGTAAGGCTGTTACATTGGAGACTAAGGCCAAGATCATTCATACCACTGTATTCCTAATCACTATATATGGGTATGAAAACTGGAGAGTGAAGAAAGCTGACAGGAAGAAGACTGATGCATTTGAAACATGGTGCTGGAGGAGAGGTTTGTGAATACCTTGGACCAACAGAAACATGAACAAGTGGGTCCTGGAAACAATGCCGATGAAACTAAAACTTTTGCATTAAGTGCATCATAAGGCAGCAAGAGTCAGTGGAAAAGTCAATAATGCTAGGGAAACGTTGAAGACAGCAGAAGAAAAGGAAGTCCAAATATGACGTGGCTCAATTCCATAAAGGAAACCACAGCCTTGAGTTTACGGGAGCTGAACAAGGCTGTCAAGGATAGGACACTTTTTATTCACAGGGTTGCCATAAGTCGGAGATGACTTGATGGCACATAACAACACTATCACCAATATAAAGGGATAAGATTAAATTGCTTTTATACATATTTCTATAAGGCCACTAAAACAGGGGTTGACAACTTGTGGCCATCCAGGTATATTGAGCTTCAAAATTCTATCAGCCCTAGATTGAACAGTCAATAGTAATAGCTCATGGGAATTATACACCAAAACATCTGCAGGGCCACAAGGTACCTACCCTTGCTCTAGATGATCAGAGCACAGTTTGCTTCCTGGAGTTACAGAAAGAAAGACCTGCCTTGAATAAGTTGGAAAGACAGACATGACAGGCTTTGGTAATCATTTTAAATATGGAAGAAAGATGGAGAAAACTCAACATTGTCTCCAACATTTTAAAACCTTAATTACAGCAGTAAAACTTGTGCATTTCCATGTCAACAGACATTTTGGAATGAAAACAAGGGATTTTTAAAAAAACTTATCATCATCAAGGCACCATTCACAGAAAGGTTTTTGAGGTTTTAATGTAAAGCATTAGGAACAAGATGGGAATAAAAATTAACTTTCAGAGTCCTTTACTCCTTCAATGCAACAAAAAACCCACTAACAAATTAGCAACTCTCCGCAGGTAATCCAATTCAGAGGCATCCTTACAGCAAGTTTCTAATTGAGATTTTTTGGCACACCTGAGATTGTACTCAGTGCAGAGGATGACAAGAAGAAGCATGTTTAGATGTGAAAGTTTTCACTACCATGTAGTCAGTCAGTCTCTCTCTCTCTCTCTCTCTCTCTCTCTAAATGTGGAATTTTGGGTAATTTCTTTACCCCTAGCTTATACAAGTGTTGCACATCCTGCATCTAATTTAACATTAAAATATTACGCTGAATGAACAATTGACACAAAAGCTAGGCAATGAGGCAAGCCCATAAAGCCATCTTCTCAAGTATTACTATATCCACCAAGGAAAATTCTGCTAGAACAATCTCAATCTTTGTGCCTATCTTGGCATTTGACAATACAAAAGCATCTATATGAAATATGTGAAAGAAACATATCCTGGCAAAAGAGGAAAAGTTAATAGACCACCAAGAAATGAAGTGCTATAATACACTTGTCAGGGCAACAATATCACCTTTTTAAAAATGGCAAATAATACTTAGAACTCCAATTCAGAAAATAATACTTAGAACTCCAATTCCAATAACAATGGCTGAAGCTGTTCCTGCATTTTTCATTCAAAGGCGTGTTTCCAGGGCCTCCCCTGTGACCAGTTGTTACCTGTTCAAATCTAGTGGATTATCATTATTCAAGTTACTTACCATAAAAGCATAGTTCATCAAATCCACATCATTAAACAAAATAATAATAATACAATGAGATGGAAATCCTATTTCGAAACTATAAAGTGGGGTTGTTATGTTTGATTTGGTCTAGATCAGACTTCTCTAACTCCATATGCTCCAGGTATTTTGGACTTCAACTCCTATTAGCCTCAGGCAGCATTGTTGGTGGTTAGGAATACTGGGAGCTGTAGTCCATAATAGCTGAAGAACACCAGTTTGGGAAAGCTGGTGTGGACATGCCTTCTCACAGAAGCAGAATTAATTTTCACATCAAGCAGCGTATTTAAGAGACTGAGCATAATCCGTGGCAATCATATTACAAGAAACAACACAAATTTCCCAGATCCAGGTAAGTGGGTGCTTGCAATGAAACAATTATGTTTGTATGTATGTATGTATGTATGTACGTATGCATGCATGTATTTGATTTATAAAACCACACCCAATAGTCCCAAGCAGGACTCCCTGGGTGGTTTATTTCACCTAGCTACAACATTTCCTCCAGCCGCGTATGACTCTAGCAGACATTTTTCCTCCACTATTTCCACAGACTCCAGAAACATCAGGGTGGTTTTCTGAAAATCTAGAAAGCTGAACTTTGTTTTATATTCTAAAGAAAAATACATACCAATTTTTAAGGAAAAGCACATATACTAGTTTTAAAGACAAAACAGCAAATAATTGAAACCTGGCTTTTCTCCACTAATATTTTATACTCTTCTTACCTTTCCAGTTCTGCTATCTTCTTATCTTTATCATTCTTCTCATTTTCCATCTCCTTTAGGATCTCCAGCAGACGATCCACTTCAGCTTGAGCCTTACTAGATTCCTCTCGGTGCTGTGCCACCTCCCTTTCCAATTGCTGAAATCTGTCACTCATCTCTGGACTGGCCCTAGCCTCCAATGTTGCTTCATGAGCCTGCAAAGAAAAATATCCCAAGAGTTATTCTTCAGTTCTATAAAAGAAAACATTCTGTTCCAAAGAATAAATATAAGAAAAGCCCTGCTCTATCAAACCAAGGATCAATCTAGCCCAGCATCCTGTTTCCAACTGCAGCCAGACGGATGTCATAATGCCTACTGTGGGCTTCACAGAAGCAACAACTCTTCCCTGAATTAGTATCTGAACAGACATTTCTAAATGATTCACTCATATTTGGAAAGAAAGGTGCAAGAGTGATGATGACTTATTATAGGAAAATGTACAGTAAATCTAAACTACAATGAAAGAGAAAAATAGTAGTTGTTACAAGAATTTTCTTCTTTACTAGTGTCTTTTCCCTTCAACACCTAAGAACTGTTCACCGTAAAACTTAAGAGTATTTGCTTCTTCTCCCTGCACAAGATAAAGGAAGGCCTCCATGGCCCCACAAGTTTGCATTCACATGAAGGGGCTTTACAGCTCCACCTTCTACCTCTTCTTGACTTCAAAAAAGCTCCCCACAGTCACTGAGACTTCCAGAACAGCTGCCCATTATGAGCTGTTGCTGAAAAGAAATATTTTTGCTTTCTCTCCCATATACACATGAAAACACTTTTGATATATGCATGGGATGAAAGAAGAGAATTCTGGTTCAAGCATTACGTTGGTTGCATGCATTGTACTGGTGCCGCTGTGATGCAATGATGTGCAGCCAGTTCAGAAACTGTAGTCAAGTCAAATCCGTCGAAAACTAGATATTATACAGTAATAGAGAGGAAAAAAGGATATTAGATTTTAAACTGGCTTTCAAAATTTTAGTTATAAGGGAATGATATTATATTGACTTTATATTGGTTTTCAGTCAGTTATATTAAATGACCTTTAAAATTATCTAGTTTACAGTAATATATAAATGTAATAGGAACCATTAGAAATCTAATATTAACATATCTATGGATATAGATACCTATCTATATATCTAGTCTGAATTAAGATTTGGAAACATGTCAGAAGGTTAGCTTTGTCAGTCTGTTCCAACAATAGCAACCAAGTCTTGGTTTCCATGCAATGACAAACCATGAGTTGCATAACTCATGGGTTGTCAGGGTTTATTATTAGTTAGCATGCTGCTTCCACTTGCTTACTCCTTATGCTTTGCATCCACTTTATGGAACCCAGGACTGCCTTATTGTTGGTGTGTTAGTTGTGATATCAAAATGGGCAAGTGTCAGTGGTTGTAGGCTAAACAACCCACAGGTTGAATCCATGGTTTGGAAACCCAAATGCCAGGAATGGGTATCCCTGTGTTGCTTTGCAAGGCAAAGATAAAGCCTAAGTGGTGAACAGGTGGGACATAGTGCATTTGCTCACTCATGCAGCCTCACCTATTCATTGGTTGTTTAATCCTGAACTAGGGTTCTGTATGAACCAGGACAATGCATCCGGTGACATCTTGAAAACTAGCACATTTAAGTGTGGCACACACTTTCATGTATCAGAATAAATTTGTTAGTTTTTAAGTTGCTACAACACTCTTCATAAGATATGGAAATGACTGGTAGGACAATAAACTTGTTGTAGTTTGTTGAAGTTATTTGAGAACAGAAAAATTATTCATAATAATCTGTATTAAACTGTTCTGCTGAACTACATTTTGCAGAAAATTATACAGTGACATAAAGTAGCTGCAAACAAGGATAGAAATGAGAGAAGTTCATGGGCAATTTTAACTGCCATTACCAAAATGTCCATATGTTATCTTTTTAGGTACATGTGTAAGATATTTAATGAACACATGCTTTACACAGGGACATTTAGCAAAGAACTGGGACTGGGTGTAGGTCCATGTTCAACATAAACATTGGCAAATGAGTGATCACAATAGATGATTCCAAAAAATAGATTCCAAAAAGGTTCTTCCCAACCCTAAATGTACCCAGAAATCTTCCTCCACCATCACATTGTCATTACTTGAAAGGCAATTGTCATGTACAATTGTTACAAGCAATAAGCTGGAAATCAGAATAACAGTTTTCAACCTTAGGCACACTTCATGTTAGCTTCATCAAAATCCATAAGACTTCTTTAAAAGAAGTAGGGCACTTTGAACATAACATCCCCAGCTTGATAAATCATGGTTTAAGCAGTGGGCCCGCCTGCTTCTTCCTCACTCCATGTCTCTGCTGTTTATTCAAAGTAAGTTGACATACGGGTGGGGGGATGAAGAGAAGAGCTAGCAACATTAAAATATTTTATAATATTGCTGAATGCTCAATTTAAAAATGTTACTCTAATGAAAATAAGCTTTAACAAAATAGCCCTAACTGTTAATTGGCAAAGGGCACTTGCTTCAATTAAAAGCCTTAATTTATTAATGTAATTTGAATAAAATATTTTGAAATAATTGTAATATTTCACTTTCACTCTTAAGTGAAAGAAATTACTTAATACTTCATGTTCTAACTAGATTATTCAGGGTTAGTATGTAAATTAAGCATTTTCCTATTCTGCACTAATGACGCAGTGTACTTTATAACAACCTTCCCCAACCTTGTGCCTTCCAGTCAATGGCCCTGCTGGATGGGAATTCTGAGAGTTGCCGTTCAAATGCCTCTGAAGGCCACCAGGTTGGGGAAGGCTACTACGAACAGTCACACTTAATTATTCAGGGATGCAGAAACTCATGCCCAGGGGCCAAATCTTGCCTGCCTGAGGTCCCAACACAGACCTTTACCCTAGGCTTGGTCTTTTTCCCCAAGAGAATTGTTTGGCATTTTCCTGCTTTTAGTTCCACCTCCTGCCACCATTCTAAAAGGGTGAAATGCTTCTCCTAAGCCTTACTTACCTGTGCTAATAATTTTACATTATTTTTTAATTTAAAATATGCTGGTACTTTTTGGTCCTGGCCCATTTTACCTTCAGCCTTGCCTACCACTGGAATGCTGCTGTTAAGAGCTTCTCTGAATGTTGTCAGGCAGAACTCCTTTGTAACTAAATGCTTCTTTACTCAACATATCAGAACATGGTACGGCAACAAGTAATTCAGAAGACTATTAGGCCATGTTCAGCATTAAGAAGAGAATAACTGTGCAGTGATTTTTCCCAATACACCATACAAACTGGCTCATAATCTTTCTGTAAAAAGAAGAACCAAAATATATTCTAGGACTGACAGATTTTTATTAATTAACTAAACACACACTGCACACAAACAAAATGGCCAGGTATTCATTACAATTTCAACCTTCATATTCAAAATATTTTTGTCTTATATTTTACTTTAGGCAACTATTTTCTCATACTCTTACTTAAACAAAACACTATAAACTGTTTAGCAAATATTTCTGTAAAGATAAATAGAAGTGATTTATTTTTAAATTTTGTATTTTTATATTCCAGCCTATTATTAGGTCTTAAGCTATATGACACATACAACAATGTGGATCATTTTCCCAAAAGCCACAATATAATCAGATGGCTACCAACTCACTCCTCAAGCTAACATGTCAACTCAGAACATCTCTTCTCCAAATGTAATCTATCTTGGTATGCACACTCTTAAGTGCATATGCAAGACTTTTCCCTCTTCTTTTAGCCAGCCTTTTACTAACACAATCAGCATTGTCATGGCCCAAGTAGAAGCCAGATGAACTGTACCTCTATTTCTCTAAAACAACCCCTACAAAATCTAGAATAGAACAGAACATCCAAATCCTAAATGAACCCAACAGGAGCAGGCAGCCTGTTTACCAGATATAAAACATTTAACCACCAACAGAGTCTGTTTATTTGAAGAAAAGGAACCAATCTTGCTCATCTCAAGCAGCATGGTGAAAGATTTACAGCTGTTCAGAGAGGAATACTTTAGTATGTTAGCTGGCCAACAATGAAGACTATTTATTTATTCATTTAAAACATTTCTAGGCCACCCCCATCGCAACAAAGCCTCGGGGCGGCTCACAAAGGATACATAAATACATAAATAATAACAATGTAACAAATTAAAATATGTTTAAAACTTAAATATACTGCCGACAAGAAGTTGATCTTGCCAATTCTGTTTCAGCAAAGGCTACCTTCTTAAATTCTAACATCAGCTGCAAAGCAGAAGGTCAGTGGGGCGCCCAGATTAATGGTTCTGCTTCTCTTAATGAGGGGTAAGAAATCAAGGTCCAGCCATGGGATTGCATACTCCATTCCTGGAGTAGACCCCCCCCCCACACACACACACATCTTTATTTTAACTGAAATTAAGCATTACTTTGCTACCAGTAGTAACTACTACTACAATTAACTAGGCTTTTAGAATTTGAAGCCAGTTTTGAAGCCTGGCTTGTTCTAACAGCAGTGGCTTAAATTGCCTTTAGAAGAATTAAATGGCAGTGAGGAGTGAATTTATTCTAGAGCAGTAAGCTATCTATAAATCCAAAGCCTGCTGTTGGTCTCTTTAACTGCCTGAGAGTTCAAAGTCTTGAATCTGGTCTGGCACAGATTGTTTACTGCAGTCACTGAGTAGAAAAACTATTGCATGTGTTGTAAGTGAGGCAAATTGTTTATCTGGGCTTTGTATTTTATAATTAAAATGGTATACCATTCCATACTACATCTAATGTGCTGAGTTAGAATGTATTCCTCAAACTTGGCATTTCCAATCCAAGTAATTGTTAATTCTAATTGCTTGTCCTATATGATGATTAAGAATTGTATTCTATAACCATCCCATTCGGGAGGGGCAAATATCATCTATTTTCATCTATTACATAAAACAGTTCTCCAATAATCCCAGAAAGGTATTTTAAAAGACATTTACATGCAATTTAGGTTTAAATATTTCTTTGATAAAATTCAGTGCTTTACGTCGGACAGGACAGAGTTCAAATCCTCAGCTATGAAGTTTTACTAGGTCACCTTGGGCCAACTATTATTTCTCAGGCTAACAAAGGGAGGATAAAATGCATTTGGGTGTGTATTGCCTATGGGATGAGGAAGAGATTATATGTGCCACCCAGAGATCTTTGGAAGTTGGAAGGATTAAAAAATTTATAAACATATTTTCATCTCCTCCATGCCTCAAATTTCCACTGATTTCAGTAAGCAAAATGAAGTTCAATGTTGTACCAATAAAACATATTTCAATGAGTGTCAAATTAATCTGAATAACTAGATGAGACTTTGCACTGAGGGTATTACAAAAGTCTTATGAAAGTTTTTGAATAACTTAACATGATTCCAAAACTACGGATCCAAAAAGCAGCTAAGTAAAGAAACATGGGGTAATATAACTACATTAAGCAAATTAAACAGAAAAAACCACTAGAAAGCATCAGCAAAGAATGACAAGCATATTCTTAGACTTTTAAAAGCTTGACTGCTCAGAAATTTTGCATTCTCAGCAGCCCACCCTCTCCCAACTATATCCCATCCCCACAAAAGAGCTCACCAATATATATTGTGTTGGCTGAAGAATACAAAGATACAAGTGAATATACATGCAGAACAGACACAACCAAATGGGTCTGGCAATGGGCCTTCCAGTTTTTCATGGAACTTACTGGCTTGGATGGGTGACTCAATAAGACTTCAGAGTGCTAAAGAAAAAGACAGGAAAAGAGGGGAAGAATTGGGAAAAGGAACAGTCCAAGAAAGAAAAAAAGATGAAACAAGCAAACCGACTAAGGGAAGATGTAACGACACTGAGACATTAAGGAAAAATTTACATGGAGATTTAGGATTCAGTCTGAAGTAAAAATTTTAACACTAAAAATGTAACTAAGCCTTCTGAATTTTTTCATACTTTGGAAACTTTTTCATTGGATAAGGAAACTGTTTGATAACCTTTACATTACTTACCTAAAACAATTAACAGTTAGGAAATTATTTCGAAAACAAAAGCCTTAATCAGAATGACCAAAATATGTTTTAATGAACATTTCAAAATATTTAAGACTGATAGTTTCAAGTGGTGATGGACTTTTCTTTTCATGTAAAATTCTTAGCCCTGTAGAAAATGTGCTGCAGTCCAAAAAAGTATTTTCTAAAAGTAAAGCAAACGTTTTATAATTCTGTATAACACCTGAATGCATAATTACTGCAGTACTGTTACTGTTGTGTGTATAATGCAGATACCATGTAATGTTCAAAGTACAAAGCAACTGGAATTCACTGATCAGGCAAGGAACTTCACTCATACACTGGTAGCAACACACTCATGCCACACTTCAAATGTTATAGAGGTACACAGTATGCTGAGACTGAACTTAGGAAGTTATGGTATACAAGTGACATTATCATCTAGTTCATTCCTGACTACACAAACTTGCAGTGAGTTTCAGACAGGCAACTCTCCCCAGAGGTGCTGAGGATTGAACCTGGAATCTTATGCATGCAAACATATGTAAGTGAATACAGTCATTTCCTCATTTCCCTCTCTCCCTACATCTACATACATAATGTAAAGGCAAGACCAGAATTTATTTCTGAATTAAATATGTATTCTGTAACTTGTTAAATGAAACAAAAAGTTTCTTATCCAGGAAAATATGACATGCATGATCAGTAATATTTATAGAACTAACAATAGCTCCCTGGTGTGTAAGTTTGTATGTGTGACTCTTTTCCCCAAGGGAGAGACTAAAGATTTGAAGAAAAGTTTGAAGTAATACAGTAAAGCAATGGTTAGCTTATGTAGGGGTCCTGATCTTTGTCTCTTAGCACTATAATTGTTTTATGTGATTATCAATTAGAAAACATTTGGATTCCTGTTCTTAAAATACTATGTCCAAATAGCTCTTCAAGGGTCAGAGGTTAAATATCTAACCAGTCAATATTAACCTCATATATTTATTTAGAAGACCTTTAAACCGCTCAAAAATGACTTAGAGTGTAATATAAATAATAATGACTTTAAAAATACTGATGTAAACTGATATACTGCAACTCTTTAAATTTTTCTTCTGGTTCTTCTTGTATCCTTTTAGAGGCCTTTTCCTTTCCATAACTGCTGCCAACTTCATTTGCTTTTGTTTGAGTATCTCCAGAGATTCAGATTCCAGTCTTGACAGTTTCATCTGACTGCTTTGTGCTTTACTGAGAATCTCAATGGGCCAAGAGAAACTCCATAGCTGTTACTAATGGCTCTGTTACAATTTCAGCAAATGGATGAAATCTTAACCCAAACATTCTACAAATGGCTAGTGTCTTAAGATTGAGTTTTACTGGTTGGGCAGAGTCAGAGTGCTTTTGATGTGTTGGCAGAGTCAAATCAGTCCTTTTCCGTCTTCTTGCCACTTAAGATGGTATTGTTCTGGCTGACGGGAGGTGGGCCAGATTCTATTGCTGAATAGTCTGGCAGATGGATACAATTAGATTGATCTCCCTGATGGTGATTAATTATTTCATGTAGCCAAAAGGAAAAGGCCCAAAGTTTCAGATTAGAACTGTTTACATGAACAGCCCCAGAAAGCCTATTCACAACTCCTGTTTAAAAAAAATCCTAGAATATGTCCAGACATAGGATCTCTTCAAATAAGAAACACAAGAACTCAAATAGGGTTTGGCCAGGAAGACAAAGCTTAGATAAAATGACTTAAATGATGGAACTGACAAATTAATTTTTAAAAAACCTTAAAAGCATCTATTCAGAGAGTGAGTGAATGAATGTATGTTCAGAATATTCTATTTAGGTTACCATTCCTGTATGTCCCCCTCATTCTGTAATCTATGCTTATTTTGATTGCATTTTTAAGATTAATCACCCTTGTTAAGACTACCTTTTCGCTGTAGAATTAACTTTACCCATCTTTAAAAGCTAGCTCTATCATATATTTCTTTGTATTAACCCAAAGAGATCACTTTTTCCTGGTTTATTTTTATGGCTTTGCTCCCTGAACAGTCCTTCAGTCTATTCGTATTTTAGGTAGCTTTACATGCAACAAGGAAGGAGAGAGAGGAGGAAGCTTGTGCACCCCCCTCTGCATATCTCGCCCAAAGGAGATTTGTGGGCTGTATCATTAAGAAGTGTGTTAAGCTCTCCACTAACGAAATGCATCATCTCCTTCACACTATACCAGAAGAAATTATACATCTTTTATTGCCCTTTTCTGAAGTGTAAAAAATGGTTCTAAATGCACAACTCCAATCACTAATGCACCCATCAAAACCATCACATACGTGCACTCTGTACACCAATCCAATACTGATTATCTAAAGAAGAATTTACATAAAGGAAGGAGTGATTAAAAGAAAGATAAGTCTATAAAAGGACCACCCCTTTCTCATGAGAACATAGGTTTATTGTGTTTACCTTTTTCAGCTGAGATTCTAATTTCAGACATTCTTCCTTTTTCTGTTCCAAGGCAATTTCTAGTGTCTTCAGCCTAGAATCTTTTTTCAATCCTGATGATGCTAAAGAGGAGGCATGCTCCTTCAAATCCAGCAATGTAGTCTACAACAAAAGGAATAGATGTTGAGCATAAAGAAGAACATTCATGAAACCATACTTTTCAGTTACCACACCAAGAATTTGTTCTGCAATATCTATCAGACAACAAATATGTTAACCTCTTTCTCTGAAAGATCTCCTTGTAAGATGCTGACTTTCTCTTTCAGGTCCTTAATATCTTTTTTATAGTTGTCAATCTCCTCCTGCTTTTCTCGCTCATCTCTGTCACGCTGGTCCTTCAGACGCTCAATAGTACGTTCCTGACAAAAAAAAGAACACTTTGTCAAACAAATTTGAGATTAAATGGTTCATTCAGAAACAAGGCCCAATGAATTCAGTGAAACTTATTCCCAATGGCACATAGGCTCACAACCTTAATCAAGTTTCTGTAACCTTTCACCTACACGGGCAATATTCAAATTAAATATATGTGATAACCATCTGCTGAATCATTTCCACAGGAAAAGAGAGCAAACCAGTCACATTATAAATAGATTCTTAGAAATTGAAGAAGTGAGAAAGGACAAACAGTGCTTCTGAAGTAGAGGTTACAAAATACACAGTAAAGTTGAAGAGATCCCTTGACTCTGCTGTCCACCTTCCAATGGGAATTATCACTAGACATTGAGCATAAACAGTTCCATAAAATACTGCACAGCAGCAAAGAAAGCTCACACGATGGATGCATCTGATAGCATTATTCCGAGATCAGGTGCATGTATAATAGCAATTCCTGGCCTATGCTGCCTCCTGAATGCTCATCACTTCTACTTTCTTAAATTATGACCTCCAAACCTAGGAACTCTGAGTTATTTATAACTCCTAAGTAAACCAAAGTTAATCCAACAACAACCATGGCTGGTTGTTTGGGATTAAACAGCCAAGAGTTAACCTAAGTTATTGAGAGTTCCTGGACTTGGATGTAACAATAACATCCCAGGAAGGAGGGTTAACTCTGTTGTTGATTGAAACCAGAAGTGCCAAGCACCTAGGTGGCAACAAATTTATGTGTTCTCATTTGGTTATGCCAATTCCTGGTAGCCAAGAATTTCTGGTATGTGCGAATTGCTGTCATTTTCAAATAAAAAAGCAAAAAATCCATTTTGCAAATATGATTTGAAGCTGTTTGAAAGCAAGACATTTTGAAACACTGAACTTTGGTTAAATTTGGGTAATTATTTCCTATAAGCAGGCAAACTTGTAAACTCAACAGACAGTGCCTGTGATCTGTAACGTCCTTCCAGATACAGTGGTACCTCAGTTCACGAAAGCCTCAGTTCACAACCAAATCGGTTCACAAACAAAAATTTCAGAAAAAAATTGCCTCCGTTCATGAAGTCTGTATCAGGTGACAACCACAGTCGCAGCCAGGTTCCCCGCACGATTATGATCGTAGCCATCTTTCCCCCACAGAGCATGATCGGAATCACCCCCTCCCCGAGCATGATCACTATCACATGATTATCGTTTGGACTCTCCCTCCAAACAATAACCTCTCCATCACCTAATTAGTATTCTCACTGTACTACTGTACTTGGTTACTTTGTTGTTCTTTGTTACTTTGTTTCAAAATTTTGTGATTAAAAAATATTTACAGAACGGAGTAACCTTATTTACATTGAACCTTATGGGGAAATTTGACTTGGCTCATGACCAGGTTGCGACCAGAGCCGTGGAACGGATTAAGTTCGTGAGCCAAGGTCCCACTGTAGTAAGGAAATCTTTACCATGTTCAGGAACGGATCAAAAACATGATTTAATAAACACAAAGCAAAATTCATATCAGCATTTGGCACTATAAGTAACCAAGCCTCCTCATGGTTACAGCTGTCTTACAATGAATTAAGAACTGGATTATTTATAATAAATACCTAATATGTAGTACAGCAAGTTTCCATTTAGTCCTGGCTTTTGTTTTGAACAGCAAACTGAAACTTGCTTTTTGGAATCTCACAAGGAAACATGTATCCCTTGGCATGCCCTCCATGAGTTTTGCAACAAGATGACAGGGAAGAAGCCATTCAGCTGACCCAATGATGTACTGAACTGTGTACCTTTCCCCTATTTATATTAAATTCCTCCTCAGTCAGATTTGAACATCCTTTAGAAGATCTAAAGCCATTAGATTAATACATATATCACTCATTTTATTCTGCAATACTTGATTAAACTAAACAAGCAACATCTACAGGAAGCCATACCTCATACAAGCAAATATGTTTGTCTTTGGGAAAACACTGGGTTTATCTTTTCTTCATACTTACCTTCTCTGCGAGTGCTTCCTCCAACGTGGTCAAGGCAGTATCGGTGTTGGTAGTATCAGCCTGCAGGGATTTTACTCTCTCTTTCAAACTGCTCATCTGCTTCTCTTTATCTCTCAATTGTTCCTGAAGATTCTCAATCTTAAGGGAAGAACAATGAATGCAGTCATGAAAGATATTTCTGAACAACTGATAAAACTCTACTCCTTGCTAGTAGACACCAGTTAACTACATCTGCCTCTCTATTGATATTTCACAGAAGATTCTCAAGCTATCACTGTTGCTCATCTTCCAGTTTCCAAACTGTTTTTCTTTTCCAGTGTATGGTATAAGCTATTTCCTTCTCTATGTCTGTATCAAGCTTATTCATGAGTTTACATGTATATTTAAAGATTAAAGGAGATTAAAGAAGGGAAGGAGGTAAATAAGTGGAAAGGGAAGGTGAGTTCTTCGTAGTATAATACTAGTGTAGTTTTTCTTCTCCTCTTTTTACAAGCAGCTGTTCCTTGTTTTAGCCATAGGACTGTTTTATTCCTTTACCTGGCTTACTAAGATGATATGGGGACCCATATTATGGTGTTCACTGGTAGGGGGAGATATGGTGTTGGGAAACTGAAAGACCAGTGAGGGAGAAGAGGGAATAGATGCCTCATTGCTATACCCTCTCCTGATCTCTCCCACAACTGGATGATTCCCAGCAACCCTGCCAGTTTGCCCCCAGGCCTTGTGGTGCTGTTGCTAAATGCCAGGTAAATACATAAAAATAGCTCTCTTATCCACAATCTAATTGTCAAATTGTAGATAAGGGTGCCTACTTGGCTTGCATTACCAAGACCTGTGTGTGTGTGTGGGGGGGGGAGGGTTGCCCTGTCCCAGCTCTGTCCTCCTGGGTACCTGATATAGCACCAATATTGCCTGGTGGGACCGGGGAGTGGGGAGGTCGTCCATAGAGATTCTCTCCCATTGATGAGGTTCCCTGTCCACTTGAGTGCAGGTCTTGAGTATTTGTACTTTGCACTGGGCAATCAAGACAGTTTATGGATCCTGGTGCTGTACATGGCATGTGACATTAACATTTAAACACATTCATAAAAAAGCAAACATCTCATTGGCTATAATCTCATCAAAGCGATTCAGTTCTCAGACAGACAAAATTTGTCCAGTCTATTGCTTAATAAAAACTATATTTTCTTTGACAATTAAATTGCTCATAATAAGCTTTCCATTTTGAGTAAATTCTTTGACTAGGCTTCTGTTAATGTAGTTAGTTAATTTTGCCATTATTGCAGTCAGCTAACTTGCTTTTCCTATCCTCAACAGCTGGACAGTCTTCAGTTTTTCACTTTGAAGCAATTATCACTCTTGCCACTGTTGTCATATATTTAAAAAACTGTCATAAACTTTGGGAAAGTCTCTGGTACAATACTCAATAGCATATTCTTGATGTTCACTGTTGTCCCTTGTGAACCCAGAGAGCCCTCAGGCTATGGGGAAGCATACAAATACAATAAAGAAATAAGAAATAAATATTTCAATATTCACCAAATATTAGAAGTAAAGTTTCAAAACAAGCTGAAAAATATTTCACTGAACACAATGCCTTATATAAACCAGGGAACTAATGCTTTATAGCATACTTTAACATTTTATTACTAATTGCTACTAATTCACAGTTGATGTCAACCGATTCTGTTGAGGGGGAATAAAACCTAATATGACATGTCTTTGGAGCCAGACAGAAAGGGAGTGATGTTGGCTTCTGAAACAGTAAGTCAGTCAAGCAGGAAGCTGTACTACTGTAAAACTGGTTCTTAAAGACACTTTGATGCAAACATTCAATTACATTTTCCAAGTCAGTGATTTATTACAAAGTTAAGACATTTACCGTAACACGAAACCTCAGGGGAAAGTCTTAAGAGGACAATATGCTAATTTCATGCAAGAAATGCCCAGCAAGCTACTATTGCTCCATTTAATTTATTGCATATGGGAAATTAAGCTGAAATACACAGGAGATATGTCTGAATCAACCCTAGTATAAGAAATGTTACTGAAATCTTAAAAAGTATATATACTGCATTAGAACATACACAACAAACTCTTGTGAAGATTATATCAATTCTACATTTGGCTGGTAAAATGTGCATAGAACAACATGTATATAAATAGAAACAAATTTGCCTAGTCTCAAGAATACTTATTTTTATTGGCAGGGCCAATCAAACATGTCATGCCTAATCCAAATTAGCTTTAAGGTAAGGAACTAGATAACAGAAAATATTGAAAACCACTGGCCAGCCAATTAAACAGAGGGCCCTGAGACTGGAACAGTCTACCCATCCAAAACTCTGTAGATAGGATGGATGGAATGAGACCTGTTGTCTGCTGTTAAGAATATTTCAAGATAGTCAGGCCTATCAGATGCACTCTCAGTGGATACAAAAGATGGCAGAGAGACTGCTGTGACCTCAGAAAAGGAGCTGCTGTGAAGCTTTCTATGGTGGCTGGAGTATGGAGGGAAAGGGAATTCTTCAACTCAGATTCCCCCCCCCTCCCCCTGGTCAGGGTTGTGTATATGGCTTCCAGTGGGTACGGATCTGCATGGGCTTAGAATAGAAGCATTCTGTTAGAGCAATACCTCCTTCTAGCCCATCAAGGAAAGTATCTCATTCCAAAAAGACTATCCTAGAATTAGTTTAAAGTATAAGTCTCCTAAATCCATTTAGAAGCAGAGATAAGATTATGCATACTGTAGTTATGAGATCATAATATGCTACTTTCAACTGAGAATATAATATGCTACTTTGTTTTGGCCCTTGCAAACGGTTCCCTTCACTCTCAACAAGCATTTCACTTCTCATGACTGTATCATTTACTGATGTTTCTGCTTTTCCAGGTTTTTAATTTTAATTACTGGAAACTGCTCCATTTTTTCCTATGTGGATTTATAAATTCCATAATAAACAACTGACTGACTTGGTATTAGGGTTAAAAGAAAGAAAACTGACATATTCGAATGACAAAGTTTGGTGCATAATTAAGACACTTGCATAACATTTCACTTTACAATTATGCTTTAATTTTTTTGTCTTCACCTCCATATATGCCATTTCCTCCCTATTAACATTAGCAAATATTGTTTATGAAAGCACTTGAAAGTCCTTTCATAGGCCTCAATGAAATAGTCCTATCATTCTTTTATCAGGATTAGTAAGGAATGTTATTCTATTATTCTTTTTGTTAAAATATATAAACATGCTTTCTGAATGTTTTAGAATATCTCTTCTGCTGCCTTAACTAAAACTTCTTCCCTTCTAAATCTCACCTTTATGGCTCCTAAGCCTATTACAGAATATAAATATTTTCAGACTCTCAAAATGATTATTAATAAAGAAAACATAATTATGTTATCTATAATCAGCATTGTGTTCAGATATTAATGAGAATTTTCTAAAAACATCAACATAACCATGGTACTTTCTTTAAAATCAACATACGCTTTTAGTTGAATTAAATATTTTAATATGAGTGAGTCTTTTTAGACATTAAAAACACAGTCTTAAAACACATATATTCAGAGTATGCCCAAATGAACGTGTTTTACTTTACCTTAACAGTCTTACTGTATTTGGAGTTCTGGAAATACTGAAATACTTGTCTTAGACAACTTTGATATGACAGCTATGGAGCCAAAGATGTGCATTTTTGGCCAAATAAATGCATATCACATCTCAATTTTCTGGAGGAATGTGTGGCCAAGACAAACTCTCCTCTCAAGAAGAGGAATGTGGGAGCATAAATTCCATAGAACGTACATAGCAATTGCTCTGCATAGAATGTACACAAAAAATGCTCCACATAGTTATAGAAACTGTATGAGCAATTTGTATAGAGGCCACGAAGGAAAGATTTAGTCACCTACCCTCACTTTCTTTGTCTATCATATATAGTTATATTGATTGCATAACCATTTTGGAGACCCATTCAGAGTCCACACCATTCAGTAGGTGGGTGCATATAAATTTAATTTAATTATATGGAACTCCTGTTGACACATTTCAATCATTAAAATGACCAGGAAGAAGTGGTTAACCAACCCAAATTTACTCTGTTTTTATTTTGCTGGCTGGTTGTATTGCTACTAAACTTCCCATTGCAATAGAAGGCTCAGGAAAACACTAGAATTTTCTATTCCCAGAAAACCTACCTTTTTTTGAAGAACATTAACCTTGCGTTCTTTCACATCCAACATATCTTTGAGATCATGAATCTCTCCAGCTTGAGTTCCCTTCTCCTCAGCCATCTCCTGAATTTGTTTTGTCTTTTTATTCAACATGGTCTCTTTTTCCTCTAGACGTAACCGAAGAGCATCCACCTGGATTCAGTCATTCATTCACATTTAAGCACACACCGGGGGGGGGGGGGGGGGAAGGAAGCCTTCCATTACATTCAGCAGCATGGCAAGGAAAATACTATGGTCAAATTTTAATCTGTATTACTATATTCAACACCCCTCCAAGCCCAACCATACCTCACTGTGGTGGGGGGTGAACAGCATGCTATTATGCTGGTCAACACAGCTCTGGCCTGGAGAAAGACCTACCAACCTACTCCAGTTTCCTTTTGCCAAAAATCTCTATGGACAGACTCAAAGATGCAGAAGATATGGTACCAAGCAGTGAGTCTCCCTGGCTGGGAGGCTACAGGGGAAGAGCAGAGAGATGATCATAGAAGACTAACAGCCACCCTGACACTGACACAGTCCCTAGTGAAAAGAGATCTCTGTGCTGTTCAAAGGTCTTCAAATTAGGAATGTGGAATGTCAATGACCCAACCCTAGGAAAGTTGAACATCCTTAAGAACGAAATGAATAGGCTTAACATTGATATACTAGGCATCGGTGAAGTCCATTGGACTGGCTGAGGCTTCCTCAACTTTGATAATCATATTGTATATTACTCTGGCATCAATACAATCAGAAGTGGGTTTCATATGGAAAATGGTGGGAAGAACCATAGAAAGTTTTCAAACAGTCAGTGATAGGATAATGGCAGTACGTATCAACAAAAAGCCTTGCAACCCAACAATTTTACATTCCTACTGTGGACTCAGGAGTAGAGAACACTGAACAATTCTATGCTGAAATTCAGGAAACTCTGAAACAAACACCAAAGAAAGACATGATATATATTATTGGGGATTTCAATGCAAAAGTGGGAGAAATGGAAGAAAGTTTGGCCTTGGTGAACAAAATGAGGCAGGAGAACAACTGATTCAGCTATGCCATGAACAATAGCTAAGTATAATGAACATGTGGTTTGAGCAACCCAAACATCAACTATACACTTGGACCTCACCAAATGGAGAACATTGAAACCAAATCAACTGCATCTTATGACAAAGGAAGTGGAAAAGTTCCTGGGTCAGACCACGAACTGCTAGCTGCCAATGTAAAGTTCTAGTGCTGCAATGTCGAACAACCACCATGAATCAAAAACTGGATGCTAAGAAGACTCCCCTGACATATGCAGTTGAAGTTAAAAACAGATTTGAACTACTCAACATCACAGAAAGACAACCAGATGAACTATGGGAGGAAATAAAAAGAACCATCACTGAAGCAACCCAGACACACGTTCAATACATGAAATCAACAAAATTGGCTAAGTGAATATCATAAGCCACAATAAAGACTGCAGAAGAGAGAAGGAAAGCAAAAGCCACTGGTGACAGGGAAGAAATGAGAAGATTAAATGTAAAGTTCCAGAGAGAGAGACAAGAAAAGATAAAGAAAAGTACTGGGCTGAACAATGCAAGAAATTGGAGAAAGCAGCCAAGAGAGGTCATACAAGAGAGTGTTTCGCTTATGTGAAGAAGGCCAGAAACCCCTTTATGGCAAGAAAGGCTATGGTCAGAGGATGCAATGGGCAGAAATTACATGACCAACAAGCAATCAGAGAAAGATGGCTAGAATATGCATAACAACTTTACACACATGAGAATCAAGGCCAAGATGTTAGAGGAGAAACCAACCTAATAGAACTGGAACCAGATATCCTGGAGGAGGAAGTAGTGTGGGCACTCAACCAGTTGCCTAACCACAAAGCCCCTGAAGTTGAAGGAATTCCTGCAGAGTTGCTGAGACCTCTGCCAACAAAAGCACTGACAGTGCTTTGCCAATTTGTATGGAAATCTGGTCAGTGGCCAAAAGAATGGAAAGGGTCATTATTTATCCCAATACCAAAGAAGGGTGATATGAAAGACTACTCCAGCCACCGAACCATAGCCTTGATACCACATGCAAGTAAAATCTTCTCAAAGATAATCCAGCAACATTTGAACCAAACCGCCAACAGAGAACTGATATACAAGTGGGATTTCATTAAGGGAGAGGAACACAGGATCACATTGCCAACCTACATTGGATGATGGAAAAAGCAAAGGAATACCAAAAAGACCTCTACATGTGCTTCACTGATTACACAAAAGCCTTCAACTGTGTTCACCATGACAAGCTCTGGAAATGCCTCAAAGAACTGGGAATATCACCACACCACATCCTGATCATTTAGTCACTGTACTCTGATCAGAAAACCACTGGAAGAACAGAATATGGAGATACAAAATGGTTCATAATTGGAAAAGGCACTTGGCAAGGTTGCATCTTGTCACCTATACTATTGTACACATACACAGAAATAGTTATGAAAAATGCACATCTGTAAGAAACAACCATTGGGGTCAAAATCGGAACTAGGAATATCAACAACCTCTGATATACAGGTGATACAACTTTGCTTGCAGAAAACAAAGTATCTGGAGTAGCTGATACTCAGAGTCAAAGATGAAAGGGAAAAATTTAGATTGGATCTTAACATCAAGAAAACAAAGATAACGACGACTGCAGAGAACACACAGGTCAGAGTACAGATCGACAATGATACCATCGAACAGTAAAGGAATTCAACTTCCTGGGCTCTAAAATTGACCAAAGTGGTGACTGCAGTCCTGAAATCAGAAGGCACATAGCACCTGGAAGAAGTGCAACATCCGGCATGGGTAGCATCTGGAAGAGTAAAGATATCAGCCTCCAACCAAATAAAGATTAGTCAACGCAGTAATTTTTCCAATTGCTATGTATGGCTGGAAAACTTGGACTTCAAAAAAGTAGGAGGATGAATGCTTCTGAATTGAGGTGCTGGAGATGAATACAGTGCATCCAGTGGGCTGCAAAAATTGCAAAGAAGTCCTAAACTGAGTCTTCAAAAATTATCACTCAAAACCAAGATTACCAAAGACTGTCATACTTTGGCCATGTCATAAGAGCTGACTCACTGGAAAGGTCAATAATGCTGGGAAAGATCAGCACCTTTTGACTGGACCATAAAGGAGGACACTGGGATGACCATGGTGGACTTGAAGGAGGAAGTATAAAACGGAGGAGCATGGAGAGCAATTGGCATCTCAAATGCAGTATACATTGACCAAGCCATTCTAAGTATGGGATAAACTAGTGACACATGTAATAACAATGGTGTCTACTTCCTTGTTGACAAGTCCTTTTGAAATCAATAGCAGTTTATAATTTAGGATAGCCTGTACTCCTTTTTCCTCTGAGCAGGCTCATCTGAGAAGCTACAGTATGTGCTTCCAACCAGATTTGTGAGAAGCTAGCAGAGCACAAACATATGTTAACCTTGTGGTTGCTGATAGAAACAGTGATCTTATTTATTCATAGCAACTGACTTTATAGATGTCTGTCACAGAATTACAAAATGCAAGTTCTATGGCAAGCAGTTTATGCCAAAATCAACGAAGTCACTTTCCCAGTCCTCAAACTATTCTGAAAACTGTTTTAGTCCTCCTGGTTTTGACTTCTGTGTTAAGGAAAGTTATTTTAACCTAAGGTTAAGCTTCTTTCATTCTTTCATTCATTCATCCATTCTACTGGTTTGTGTTTTATTATATCAGCATAGCTCTTAAATATTAATGGTTAATAGAAATCTTACACTGACCACAGACAGAACTGCTATAGTTTTTTGTTCTTTTATACACCTTCCCTATTCCTTTCAGTAATGGAGCTGGATGTGCAATTACACTTATGGAGAACACTCCTCCCACAACAGTTGTAGTGAGGCCATCCTTCCCCATTTATTTCAAATCTGTTTCTCCCACAATGGATCTTAATTAAGAGCCATGCTCATTTCAATTCTTATACAGTCTGTCCTTTCCTTCCCACTGACACTCTTCAGTTGTTTCAATCATTCTTTAAAATCAGACAAATTCATATTAGTAAACAAAATCCAGAGTTCTGTTAGTTCTGATCTCCAGGCTTCTCTACCTTTAATGCAGAACAGCTAACTACCCAGCTCATATCAAGTAGCAGCTTCAGTTTGTCCTCTGTATGTAATCCGGTAACTATTTCAGATGAATAGGCGGAAAGAATTTGTTGGCAAATCTGTTCAGAGGTTTCAGTCGGACAACTAATTCATATCTGAATGTCCATGCTAAGCTACCTCAAACAGTTTCCATACAGGATGTGTACAGAATCAGAACTGGAATATATAAAAATCACGTTCAGTACATATAAATTCTTAAATGATAGATCCTCAAATACCTTAGAACAGCCACAGTAATTAACAAACCTCTTGGCTGTTGAATTCAGTTCTCTACTGCATACAAATCCCCTCATTTGGTACTGCATTTGTAAAGGAAAGATGAAGAAACCAAATAACTTAAGCACTGTGTGAAAAGGTTTTAAAAAATCAAGTGACTGAGTTAGCCATACACATGCCAATGCTGGAAATGAGTTCAGTTGGACAGAAACAAAATTGTACATGGATGAAGCATTTTACTTCATGTTGGTATATATTTTGCTTTATTTACAAAAATGTTATACATTTCTAGAACTATTTATAAATATTCCTTAATATAGTGAAACTAACCTCAGGACCCTCTCTGCTTGCTTAATCTTTAGAATAAATACAGGGACATGTCAATCCCAGTAGGTTACTCTTCCCAGCTTTGAATGATAGAAGATGCAATTCAAGACTCTGTCAAGCTTTACATACAAAATGCAGGCATATCAAGCTTCCACATGATATCTTTAAAGTATTTGCACACACTTTTAACATGCTTTGGATAATTTTTTGAAAAGTAATCTCTAAATTCCCTTTAACTAAGAAATAACTATGGTTATGTGTTTCATACATCAGAGTTGCAGAGTTGTCTCATATCTCTTAGATGGAATAATGACTTTTCACAATTATAAGGAAAAGGCTGAAAGATATCAGTGCATCATTTTTATAATAGCTTGGAATCAGAAGTTATCTGAGGTGAAATTTGGAGAGTGCTGCTTCAGACAGCACAGTGGCT